GGAAGGGATCAGGGGGGCTGGGGGAGTGGGTGGGGCCAGCAGGAGTTCCCCCCCATGGTCTTCTCCCTGCTCCTACAGCCCCCCCTGACCTCTTACTTACCAGCACTGCAGCCTGGGTCCTGCTCCCTGCTGCTGGCACGCTGCCTACCCTGCATGGGCAGGCAGAGTGCTTCAGCAGCAGTGCGAGGGCCAACCATAGAGACGCTCTTACAGCCAGAGTGTCTCCGTGGAAGACCCAGCCTCCGGTTGCCTCAGGGCATGGTCCGGGACCGTGCCCTGCCCCACATTTTTTATCTGCAGGTTTTTTTGATGCCTGGATATGCAGGGGTCTCATATTTCCCCCGCACTGCAAATTGCAGTGCAAGGGACATTTTCTCATTCCCGCATGTGCCTCTTGCAGCGTCTCAAAGGAGTTTGAGACGCTGCAAGAGGCATGTGTGGGCTCATCTTGATGTGCCCTCATAGTCCAGAAAAAAATCAAATTGTAATCGGCCATGAAATAATAAAAATAATCAGAATTACTATTATTTACATCATGGGAGCACATAGTGGTCCAGTCAGGAATGGGGAGTTGTATTATGCACATAGTAGAAGAGACTGTACAAGCACATAGGAGAGGCCATATGTACATGGTAAACGTGTTGTACTCAGCAGCAATTCATCAGTTAGGGCTTGCTCTAATCCTAAATCACCATTGCCTCTGCTATTGCAATGTTTGTTAGGATTTGTTGTGTCCCTATGACACTATAATGGGTCTTATACCCGGCAAGGAGACAAAGACAGTTATTCTAATCTAAAAGCAAATTTATTGAACCATAACAGATACAATTTTAATTAAAACTGAAACAGCATTAGCAGTTAAAATTTTGCGGTTTGCAGCTATTCAAAGCAGATGCTCACCACCCTGTAATGCTGTGAACACAACTTCACCAGTTGATCAAGCCATGAAGTCTTATCTGGGGCTTGTGGTTTCCATATCTGATGTTGAGACAGGATCCTGGATCAGTGATGGGATCTTTTCAGGCTTTCTTTGGGAGTGTTTCAAAGGGTACACCTTTTTACCTTTCCTTATAAGCCATATAACTTGCATTTTTAATATATAAAATTAACTCAAGCCTTCTTCCTAATGCACATTAATACTTTTTCTTCTGTTTGCCAAATATGGTTACCTTTAACTGGATTTTTTTTCCTGAGGTAATCTTTTCATTCTTAGGTGGGGATAGGTTTTGCTCTGACTATTCCTCTTTTGTCCAGGTTATATTTATTCAATTTAGTTAGCCAACTTCCTGATTTGTTTTAAGTTAGGGACAGTATTTTTCCATCTGCTCCTTTCCCTGGGTGCATGTCTCGATCACAATTAAAGCTAAGCATGAAGCTTGAGCTAAGCCCAAAGGTCAAACCCAGGCCTGAAGGCCTTTGGATCCCAACAACCTCCCACTTTGATAACTCATACTGGGTGAATCTTACTAGATAAGGTTCAGAATGGGCATGGTGGGAATGACTGCCTTCCTACAGTTGACATTGAGCTGGTGTGTGACCAGTTAGAAAACTTAGACATTTATAAGTCAGCAGGGCCGGATGAACTTCATCCAAGAATGCCGAAGGAGTTGGCTGAAGTCATCATAGGACCTCTGGTGAAACTCTTCCAAAATTCATGGTGCTTGGGGGAAATCCCTGAAGACTTGAAGAGGGTCAATGTTGTGTCCATCTTCAAGAAAGGGAGAAGAGGGGACGTGGGCAACCATAGGCTAATTAGCCTAACTTCCATGTCAGGGAAAATCCTGGAAAAATTCATCAAGGAGTCTGTGTGATAGATTTGCAGAAGGTAGGATTCTGAATGAGAGTCACCATGGCTTTGTTGTGGGCAGGTCTCGTCTTACCAATCTCATCTCCTTCTACAACCAGGTAACTCGCCACCTGGGTAAGAGAGAGGAGGTGGACATTGTATACCTAGACTTCCAAAAGACCACTGATCTGGTATTTCATTATGTTCTCATGTGAAAATTGGAGGATTGTGGGCTTAACTGCTCAATGGGTAGATGGGTAGGAAGCTGGTTGTGGGGTAGGACCCAGAGAGTTCTAATAAACAGATGTGTCAGCCTGGTGAGAAGTGCCCAGTGGTGTCCCTCAGGGGTCTGTGCTTGGTCCAGTGCTTTTCAACATCTTTATCAGTGATTTGGATGTGGGGGTGAAGAGCTCACTGGCTGAGTTCATGGATGACACCAAGTTATGGGGGAGCTTGGTCACACTTGAAAACAGGCTGCAGATACAGGGGGACCAAGACAGGCTGGCAAGTTGGGCGGATCGGAACCAGATGAAGTTCAACATTGAGAAGTGTAAAGTGCTCCACCTGGGGATGAACAATCCCCAACTTACTTACAGGCTCAGTGGTGCCAAACTGACTAGCATCATGACTGACAGAGACCTGGGGGTAATAATAGACCATAGTATGAACATGAGCCATCAGTGCAATGCTGTATCCAACAGGGCAAACAATACTCTGGCATGCATCAACCAATGCATCACAAGCAAAACCAAGGAAGTGATTCTTCCACTTTACTCACCATTGGTGAGACCGTAGCTGGAGTACTGCACCCACTTCTGGGTGCTGCATTTCAACAATGACATTAAAAAGCTTGAGAGAGTCCAGAGAAGAGCTACCCTTATGATCAGAGGCTTACAAGGCAAGCCATACGAGAAAGGGTTGAGGGACTTGGGTCTCTTCAGCCTAAAAAAGAGAAGGTTGAGAGGGACTTGGTAATAGCTTACTGCTATATCAGGAGAGTACATCAAGGGCTCGGCAAACCACTGTTCAG